GCACCGTCCTCCTGGCACCCACCTTTGAGATATTTATATGCATTAATGAGATAGCCTCTCAGTCTTCTCTTTTACAGTTGGACTCTCCTCAAGGCCAAAAAGACCACCCCCATATCCTACTGCTCTATCCCTTGCTTCAGTTTCGCTGGGCTTTTGCCTACAGTTTCAGTACCACATGGAAGGACAGGCTTTCTATACCCCGTAACCTCCTACAAGCCCTGGAAGGTGATGAGGAAGCCCTGTGAACCCCTCTTTCTCCAGGTTTAATATGCCCAGTGTCCTGAGACAATCTGCAAGGAGAAATCCCTCCATTCCATGATGCCCCTGCACTGAGGGTGCTTCATTTCATTCATGTCTTTGCTCCACAGAGAGCCCAAAGTTAGATCCAGTGCTGGAGATCACATTTGAAGACATACAAGCAAAGAGGGAGAAAAACAATTCCACTCTGAAGCTACCTGTAATGCATTTAATGCAGCCATGCATGTCATCCTACTCTGTAATGCATGGGCACATCTGCATCTCATCACAGCCCCCAAAGGGCAGAGAACCCCTGGAAAAGGGCCCATTGTCCAGGCAAGAGGAATGAAAAGCTCTGGAGAATGCGGGCATCGATCCCGCTGCCTCTCACATGCTAAGCGAGCGCTCTACCACTTGAGCTAATTCCCCAGCCCATAGCCTTACCCTGAGGTTCTCTCCCCTTCCAAGCACACAGCCCTGACCCAGCCTTTCCAGCAACCAAAGCCTGGGTCTCCCATCCACCTGGCTACCACCATCTCAGCCACCAATCCGTTTGCTGCTGGTGGTGACCACTGACAACCCCTGATGGTGCACAAGGGCCACTGTCCCCTGCCCAGGGTTCACCAGAACTGCCTTGCTTGGTTCCTCTTCCTCAGCAAGGGCAAGAGCTGAAGGCTGTGCGGTCCTTGAAGGGCAGGCAGGGCCAAAAGGCAGAGGTGCCACAGGGTGTGTTCCAGAGCCAAAAGGGCACTCCTTCGAGCCGGAGTTGAACCAGCGACCTAAGGATGGCCGTGCAAGGAGCCTACAGTCCTCCGCTCTACCAGCTGAGCTATCGAAGGAATCATGGGGCATGCCCAGGACGTCCCCCATCACACGCTCACCCAAAACTGCCCAAGATGCAGTGCAGTATGATGCCTCCATTCCAACAGCCTGACTCAAACAACCTTGGCTCAGTTCTCACAACACTTGCTCAGCCCTTTAGCCCGTCGCATCGTCCAAATCCACAAACAGAATAGGTACACAACCTCCTGGGATGTCATCAACACACGGATTCTCCTCAACTCCAAAATCGCCATCCTTAAATTCTTTTCCGGCTGCCCTTGATTCACTGTCACTGGACTGCCTTTTGCCCTCCCATCAAGTTCCAGGCAAATGGACAGATATTCCTTGAGTCCATAAGCTGCTCCTATGGGAGGAGAAAAAACATACTTTAAGCCCTTGGAACCTCTGTATCTCCTAGTGGATGATGCCCACTGTCCTGAAACCATTTGCAAAGAGAAGTGCCTCCATTCCCTGGTGGCATTTTTGGAGGCCCTGCGGTGAGCATGCTCCCATTTCATGCATATCTTTCCTGCACGGGGTAGCTCAAACCTGGACACAGTGCTGAAAATGACATCTGATGGTTGTCAAGCAAAGTAGAAAATCAATTCCCGCTATGAAGCTTCCCTTAGAAATTTTTATGCAGCCATTGATGTCATCCTCCTCCGTATAGCCTGGGCACATCACCCTGTCCACAGAACCCCAGAAAGCTCCCAGCCAAGGGCCTTGTGACCAGGCAAAGGAAGAAAAAGCTCTGGAGAATGCGGGCATCGATCCCACTGCCTCTCACATGCTAAGCGAGCGCTCTACCACTTGAGCTAATTCCCCAGCCCATTGCCTTGCCCCGAGGTCCTCTCCCCTCCCAGGCACACAGCCCTGACCCAGCCTCTCCAGCAACCTGGGTCTCCCATCCACCTGGCTGCCACCATCCCAGCCACCAAACCACCTTGCTGCTGGTGGTGACCACTGAGACCCCTTGATGGTTCACAAGGGTCACCATCCCCTGCCCAGGGTTCACCAGAACTGCCTTGCTTGGTTCCTCTTCCTCAGCAAGGGCAAGAGCTGAAGGCTGTGCGGTCCTTGAAGGGCAGGCAGGGCCAAAAGGCAGAGGTGCCACAGGGTGTGTTCCAGAGCCAAAAGGGCACTCCTTCGAGCCGGAGTTGAACCAGCGACCTAAGGATGGCCGTGCAAGGAGCCTACAGTCCTCCACTCTACCAGCTGAGCTATCGAAGGATTTCCATGGCTGTGTTTGACATCCGTTCAGATTCTGTACCACAACCATATCTTTCCCTGTGCAAGATACTTTCCTGATTCCGCGTGTTGGTCCCTTCTCATATCACCCCTACAGCACAGTCTGTCCTGATCTTACCTCTTAACTTAAGCCTCCTACTGACAGAGGTCATTTTTGTGAGTGTATTTCTCTGACTTCATTTCCAGAAGTGCCTTATACATCTTGTGGCATGGCTGTTACCCTTCTTGTTTTCATTTTTTTCTCTGAAACATGTCATTTTGCTTGCTGCTCTGGAGGTCTGAAGTGTTTAGTGGTCCTGAGGTGGTGAGTGAGACCATTTATCACAAAAAAAAATTGAATGGACCTAAATCCTTGTGTTTTGTATGGGAAGTAGCCAAAAAACTCCTGTGTTCACTCTCCATTTTTTGGCTTTTTCCTTTTTCCCTCTTTGTACTGAACAATGATTATCACACAACTAGGAATATAACTTTCCTAAGGACCCATAGGGAAGCGTCTATATAGCTCATACTTCATGCTAGGTCACATAGTTCTTGTCCTTACTCTTACTGTTTCTTGGGTTGGACCTAGCGAGTCCTTTTTCTCACTCCTATGAATTCTTCTGCCAGCAGATAGATCACCTTCCCGTTACTAAATCATTTCTAATTACTATATATCATCTTGGTCTGCAGGAAGTTGTTTTGTTAATGTGCTTTTTTTAGTGAGGACAGTTTTCCCAAAATCAAAATAAGAACATACCTTTTATTAACTGTACTATGTTGAAAGCAATTCTATTAGTATTCTAAAATAACACTAAGTAAGGTGAGTGTGCAGCTGCTGTTTTTCACCTTTTGGAAACTTCATTTTGTTCAAATTCTTATTTTCATGAGATTTGAGGGTATACGGAGAGGGCAGAAGATGTCTCTTTGTATGTAGGAAAAGGAAGAATGGCTGGAGACTGGTTGTCCTATGCCTGCTACCACACATAGGTTTTGAAAGTAAATACCTCTCCCATTTTTTGCTTTTTAATTCTAATTGCAGGTTTGCTTTCTGCTAAGAAAAGGGATAGATTGCATAAGCTACTTAAATACTTGGATGGCATGTGATGTCATTAGTCATGCAAGACTTAGCTTGTTTTTCCAGTTCTCCATCTTTTATTATGTTTAAGGTCCCACATGTTAAATATGACTGAAAATGTATGCTTAAGGTACCACATGCACAGTATAGTAAATATGACCAAAACTGAAGCTCTTCACTTTATTGGAGACATGTTTAAGGAGTTCTGTATGATCTATGAGAAAATGACTGGAGTTCAGCATACAGAACTGAAGACATTGTTGGCAGAGGTGCTTCCCAGGCTCATATCAGTCTTGATATTGGCAGAATATGTCTGAAGCAGGAACTGTCATCAGGAGCAAAGCAGTTATATTTCACTGGGGGAATATCTTCTACTGGGACTCAGTGGAAAGTCAAGCAGGACTCCACCCTGAGGATAAATTCGTTAGGGGAAGAGTGGGAACACTGCCTTTGCACCACAAATAGTATTTTGGGGCATAATGGTCCTGGCTAGCTCCTGAAACACTCAGAACGAGTATTTATGAAATGCAACACACCTTGACTGAGGTGAGAATCAGTTATTTAAAACACTACTAAATCACTTTTGATGCCACCAGAGGTCAGCACTAGTCATTAAATACATGTCTTGGGAAAATCTTATTGCCAGTTCTCCAAAAGGAGTGGTGACTTCTGAAAAGATACACTTCTGTCTATGCTTGTTTTACAAGTACATGTGAGCTCACACTGCCAATGCTTCAGCATGGTTGGAAGCAAACCCTTTCTTCTGTAAGCTTTTCTTCCCCAGTGCTGTTTGTGAGCTAACAGTCCCACACTGTTCCTTTCAAGCTGTATCTGTCCTTGGATGCCATAGCACTGAGTACAGTCAGGGGGGAAAAGTGGTACTGAGCCCTGTCCCAACAAAGCCTTCCCACCAGCATAAACAGCCCAAAGCTATTGATGATCAGCTTCCACTGCTTTAAGGACTGTCTCAGAAGTGCACCAGTGGGGAGCTAGGCCCAGAGAAAAGCACTTAAAACTGGGGCTAACTTACTGTGATTTCCCACTTGTGTTTCAGAAAGATAGTTCCTTTCTATTGCAGCTCATACCTGTGTTTCCAGACAGAACCACTGTCTGGGCTTCTGCAAACACAGATACTGTTCACAAAATTTTAATAGAGCTACTTTCGGCAGGCAATCAAATACAGAATTTGTTATAAAGAAGACAGTGTTGACGGCATAAGCAGTGTGATTATCCTGGTTTTAAACAACCTTTAGAAAGTCTTTATCTTTGTTGAAACCTGCTAAATGATGTAAATCAGTTGACAGTCATAATGAAACAAATGCCTGTGCTTTATTATCATGCTGCAATCTATGCTTTCAGAATTTTCACTGTCTCCTTTAACATGGTAGCTGACTAGGTATCCATACAAAAAGTTCATGCTTATTGTCATAGAACACTTTTTTACCAAAATTTTCATGTTCAGTCATTTTGTGTCACTTTTCTTTCACTGAGTGTGTCAGACCTGGAACTCTGGAACTGTTTGGAATTATTATATCTCTATTAAAATCTGTTTTGCAATGTTTTCTAAGTGTCTGTATGCCTATGCAGACATACAGATGACTTGTTTCCTTTTTGCTTTGTTTTGTTTTTCCTATTTAAGAAAACTGGCTCTGAAATACCATCCAGACAAGAACCCGGACAATCCAGAGGCTGCAGAAAAATTTAAAGAGATCAACAGTGCTCACGCAACATTGACTGATCTGTCCAAGCGAAACATATATGACAAGTATGGATCCTTAGGGCTCTATGTGGCAGAACAGTTTGGTGAGGAAAATGTTAACACCTACTTCATACTCTCAAGCTGGTGGGCAAAGGTAAGCTGTTATTTTCTGTTGGAAATCGAATGTTGCAATGTACACAATTCTATACACAAGGAGCCCCCTGAAAAATGATCTCTCTACAAGCTTAATAGATAGTACGATATGATTCTAAACCACTACTAAAAGCTTAATTAAACAATGACATTATCTGAAAAATCAACAGTGGCAGAATGTAACGTAAGTTCAGAATAGAACTAATATTGAATGTTTTCCCTTTTAACTTGGTAAATAGTTAAATAGGGTGCATGTTTTGTAACACTTTCAGACATTAATCAGATTTGAATCTAGTGCTCCAGGTTAATTTTGAGTTTCTTTTCAGTAATGACTAAATAAAAATGACTCATTGTCCAAAAACGGGAAGTCCCACTTATATGACAACCAGTTAATAAGTTATTACAGCACAAATTTAGCTGTGTTCTTTGCTATATATAGCACATAGCGTAAGCAAGCAATAATAATACATAACACTGTGATTATGGTGTCATATGTGCCCTGATGAGGGGGTGAGAGAAAGGAAGTGGAAGAAAAGGTGGAGTGGAGGAAGAGAGCAGGAAAGGAAGAAAATGATACATCAAAAACTGGCATATTGCTCAAGGAAAAGCTCATCATGGGCTGTTCTCATCATAAAAGAGTTGTTAATGTGCTTTCTTATGTCACTGGTGTCTTCCGATGTTTGCATATGTCAAAATTGAGTGTTTCTGCAAATACTCATATGTTACAGAAATGTAACAAACCAGTGGAACTGCAAATGTGCAAAATCTGTGCTGTCCCCACCTCTTTCCACCAACAGGAAAGCAAGGCTCTGCTGGAGTGCATAGGAAAATGATATGTACTGCGTGAAGCAAGCACAGCTTTGATCTGAGAACCATGGAACATGGATTCCTGTACTCAGCAAAGATCAGTGCTTTACTGCCCTGAAGCCCCCTTTCAAGCTGAGAAGTCACTTGCACACTTTGTGAGAAGCCACAATTTGTCTGCTGAATCAGGATGAGACAGCAACTACTCAGATGCAGAACAGTGAATGAAACTAATGAATGAGATACTGGTGTTTAAATTACACTTGCAAAGGCACAGTTGCACCCTCAGAAACAGGCTGGAAGCTGCTCACTTGCAGCTACTGTAGCTCACTCCTGCTGCAGGCTGGACTCCCCAGTACAGCCACTGTGTTTTCCTGCGGCATCATTCCCTCTTTTCTTTGCTGCCCACCCTCTCCTTTGGTCTCTGTGTCACAGTTCAGGTGCCAGGAAGCATTGGCTTAGAGCTGACTGCTATTAACAGTCTTGGTAAGCAAGGTTTTTCAAAGTAAGCTAAATCACAGTTTGCTGCTCTTTTTAGCTTATATTTCCCCTTCTTCTTACTGATCTTTAATGGAAATTTTATGGAGTATAAAATCCTCTGTGATTAGAAAATCAGGAACAGAAATAACTGCTTTGGCTTTGACTCATAAGGAGAGCAGTGGACAGTACAGGAAGCAGCTAGTAAGTCCCTAATAGTTAAAAGAGGAATGTGTGGACTGTTTCAAGGTAGCTGTATTCCAGAGGTGAGACAAGATACCCTGAATATCCCAGCAGAAGTTATCACTGTGTCCTGGTTTTTAAGAATTCTGTACAAAAACTCCAAAATCTCCATAGAGACTTATTTGAGGATTGTCACAGGTAGTCTCTCTATCCCTCCCCCAACCCAAAATCTTGCCACCTCCAAAGCATGAACACGCCATCCAAGTGGGTTTTTTTGCAAGCTGAGCTCATTATTCCTCATCTCTTTTTAACTCATGCACAAATGCTGGGTCATTTTCAGATTTTTCTAGTGACTATCACAATGCTATGTGACTCTGATACATTATCTAAAAATGACCTCTGGACCCCTAATTTCTTCCATTCTGATAGAAGACAGTAGGGACTATAGCTTTCACACATTATCTTTCTCTTCAACTACGAACATTCCTAGTAAATCCTCTTCCCTAGCACACTCATACGCAGAAGATCTGACCATTGTGAGGAGGTGTATCATTAGAAGTAAGAAAACTCAAATGAAAGGAGAAATGCAAAGTGAAAATTACATTTTTTTGGAGTGCCAGACTCCTTAGCAGGCATGTTAAGCTGGGAACATACTGACATAGCTAATGGTAACTTTAACTCCTTCTCTACCGGACAGCATAGGATTTGGTTGGTTGTTTTAGCAAAAAGCAATTCTCCCTCTACCATAAAAACAGTTTATTGATCACATCAATAAACATTTACTATGATAATGTAAACACAAGAAATCTTGAAACATTTAAGGTATCATGAATAAATGTAAGGGTTTTTTTCCTCTATACATTTTTATTCTTTTTTCATACTATCCATTGTGGCTATTTATTCTCCATTATGGCATAAATGATAAACAGTCAGGTAACTTATTTTAGGACTTACAATATTTAGAATAGGTGTGGGTGTCCCTTGGAAGGAACACATTTTAAAACAGAAAGTCAGAGTCCTTCATTTATAAGTACCTTGCTCACACTTGATACATGTCTATATTAATATTAGGCATGTAAATAGTCTTACTACATTCAGAGATGCTTCAGTCGGCCTGCACTAACATTTTCAAACTGAGTGTTATTTACATAGCTTCATTGTCAAAGTTTGACAATATCCTGACATTTGTCTTTGCTTTCTTCCTCAGCAGCATGTTTTCTTACGAATATAATGAATAATTAGTAAAGTACAGACTATACAACTATAATGCTAAAGCCTGGCTATACCTCCAACCTACTTATACCTGGTGGCCACAAAGCTGTGCTGGCTTTACATACACATTCCACATATCAGCTTTGATTTGCTTTTCAGAAATGTCACTGTCTTTCCTTTGATCTTATGCCATTATGCCCAAGGAGAGATGTGGAGGTTTCTCCTCTGCCACAAAGAACTTGAGTAAGGAACATGGGGTGGCAGTGTCAGCATAAGGGCTCCTCTTCTGCAGGTCCCCCAAACCATTGCTGCGACACAACACACAGCCCCCAGCACCACAGCTGCGGAGCTGTGCTGTGTACCCAGGCAGTGACTTGGTCTGGAGGAAGAAGAGGTCTGTAAATTAAGTTTTCTGGCTGTTTAATCTGGCTAAGATCTCTAGTCTCGGCCCCAGACAGTTGTGCTGGCTCTGCTGAAGCCTCTGTGCTTTGTGTCAAAGGGACAGGAGTGGGCAGAGGGTGATGCAAGTGAGAACTTCTTGGCGCCTGAGTCCCAGATCAGGAAACACAGACCAAGGAGTCTAATTTAGGAGATGTCACCTGTGTGCTCTGGCACAGGCTAATGGGGAGAGAAAGACACCTCCGATGGGCAATTCAAATCTTCCTGAGGCTGAGTCACCCTCTGGAAGGACTTTCAACTGCCCATTGACTGTGGGGAGCTCATGGAAGCTACAGTCCTAATTTGGATGCCTTATTCCAGTGCCTAAAGTTATGTGGGATGCATCTGGGTCTTCACTTCTTTTTCTCTCAGCTTTGCTATTGACAAGAACCTGCCAGTAAATAAGTGTTTGCAAAAATGATCTTGGGCAAATGAGTCATTTTTAAGATGGAAATGAGTCATTTTGAGGTGGGTGGGGTTTTGCATACCGCTTGGAAGCTTTTCCTGAGGAACAGCCTCTGAAGACAGACTTTCAGAAGTTGAGCATTGTGGGAGCCTATTGGTTGGTGTCTTCTTTGCGGATGTGGTCCTTAAGCGGCAAAGAGGAGCTCATTCGTGAGGACTTTAGAAGGTCTGGCCCTTGTTTGGGCACTTGGCCAGCAGCTGGACTCCTCTGAGTGCTAAGCACTTCAGAACCCAAGTTCCTTTGACAATTTGCCGTCCGCAGGCTGCTGAGAGTTTGAAGAAGGTCACTGCTCACAGGGTTTTCCTCCCTCTGTGTTTAACACAGGGCCTGTTTGCAGTCTGTGGCCTGCTGACGGGCTGCTACCTCTGCTGCTGCCTCTGCTGCTGCTTCAACTGCTGCTGTGGGAAGTGTAAACCCAAAGCACCCGAAGGGGAAGAGCAGGAGTTTTGTGTGTCTCCAGAAGATTTGGAAGAGCAAATTAAGAACGACATGGAAAGAGGTGTGTATTATGTGGGCATACTGTGTGGCAAAGCTGTTCACAACAATCTTTAAAGCCTGTAGGCCAGATATTCTGCTCACGATGCTGAGGCTGGTCCAGACATCAGTGGAGATGTGCCAGTTCACTCTAGCTAACACCGTGACCTGATGAACTTCCCAAGTCATGTGTTAATGAAAACTTACGGCACTAACAAATATCTCCTGCATCATTAGAAGTCTCAAGGCTTATCTTAAGCAATGGTGTTCACTCTCTGTCCCCCATACCCACGCTGCTTCATATCCTAGATCCCGTACTTATACATGAGATCTGAATTGACTGGTGCTTGCCACATCTGACCCACCTGAATAAGCTCTCATTCAGGTTTTATCATGTATAATTTATGGCTAGCTGTGGTGGGCCAGCTGTATCCATCCAATAAAAGGCTTCAAGAGAAGATGCAAAGTCTTCAACAGTAAGGTTGTGCAGTAACCTAACAGAGTTTTCATGGGAGCTGCCGCAGCCCCCAAGCTGCTCACTCTCTCCTACACTGACAGTAGCGATTATGCTGCCTTACCAGGAGCCAGATCTTGGACATGATCCAGATGAAAACTAATCCTCTCAAAAATATGTGCAATTCCCTGCCCATTTAACACCTTGCCATGCCTCACAGTGAGGCAGGCTGAGTGCTGAGGCTGGTTCAAAGAAGGGAGCAAGAGTGCCTGGCCAAGAGCATGGGCGAGGGTAATGGGACACCCTTCTGTCTGCACATTCAAGTTTTGCCTATACCAAAGGATGATGGTGGTAATTTTCTGACTTGGCATGAGTGTGAGTTACGTATTTTAAACGAAGAGCCCTGTCCTAATCTGCTGAAGTGGGGCAGAAGTTTGCCTTCATCTTCAAGGGAAGCAGAAACATCTCAGACTGGACAGATTTGGGCACTTGCAGGTCAGGATGAGAAAGGCAACATCCCTTGCTTCAGCAGGGATAGACTTAGGCCACTTCTCAGTTGCAAATTCATATAAACAATGATTAGGAGTATGCTTTTTTATGAGGAAGGACCTAAGGACTCAGATCACTCTTTTTCTTTTCCATTGTTGTGGAAGGTCTTACGCTGCTACATTCTTACGTTTACTATGCTTAAATTAGCACTGCCAGATTGCAAAAGTCATGTTCCCTTAGCAGGGGAGATTTTTTTCCCCCAACTTTTCACACAAATTTACCCTTCCAGAAATATGCAACAAAACACTTGTAGTAGTTGAAACAAATGCTATTTATACAACTGGTATGCCAACGTGTGGTGGTATTTTTAAATGTGTTTTGCCTAGAGGCATATCAAGGTAAATATAGTCAGCTTAAAAACTGATCATATTTGATCAGTCTCTGCAAACGCAACAAAACGTACTAGTGAAGACTTTACAACCACAGTGCACTACCTGAAATAAATGTAATATACTCTGTGACATAGGCACCTGCAAAGTGCAAATCTAAAATGGGTCTTGATATTTATGGTCTGTGACAGCAGAACCAAGTTTCAAATATGAAGATGGAAATTTGAAGGGTAAGAATTTTTTAATTCTGCCTGGATATTTTTTTTTTTATTTTTCTAATTTGGCAGGTGTTTTTCTTTCCCTCAAAATCCAGCACAAATTTCCCCAGTGGCAAATACCACCCTCCTTCCAGCACAGGTGATGTTTCTTGGTATTCAGTAATTTTAGGCCAACTTCCCATCCATTTACTCCCACCAAGTCTCACAGACATATCAGTTTTTTAAATAATTTCAAATGTTTAGCAAAGTCCCAGCCTGAAAAATTAATAGAATATGGAATTATATGGTTTAGGTATTTTGAAGACAGTATTGAATATATAGGTAGGGCCTGAAGAAAACTAGATATTTGTACCTTTCTTACCCTTCTCTTCAGTCTTGCTACACCTTCCTACCAATCAAAACCAGATTGCCTCAATAGAGTAGAATACTCTATATTTTAAAATTAGATTAAAAGAAAACAACACATCAGGAAGAAAAGATGCCATGACAGAGGGTAATGTGAGCAGCTGAAAGGAAAATAGAATCATAGAATAGTTAGGGTTGGAAAGGACCTCAAGATCATCAAGTTCCAACCCCCCTGCCATGGGCAGGGACACCTCACACTAAACCATATCACTCAAGGCCTCATCCAACCTGGCCTTGAACACTGCCAGGGATGGAGCATTCACAACCTCCCTGGGCAACCCATTCCAGTGCCTCACCACCCTAACAGGAAAGAATTTCCTTCTTATATCCAATCTAAACTTCCCCTGTTTAAGTTTTAATCCGTTACCCCTTGTCCTATCACTACAGTCCCTAATGAAGAGTCCCTCCCCAGAATCCCTATAGGCCCCCTTCAGATACTGGAAGGCTGCTATGAGGTCTCCACGCAGCCTTCTCTTCTCCAGGCTGAACAGCCCCAACTTTCTCAGCCTATCTTCATACGGGAGGTGCTCCAGTCCCCTGATAATCCTCATGGCCCTTCTCTGGACTTGTTCCAACAGTTCCATGTCCTTTTTATGTTGAGGGCACCAGAACTACACTGTATTTAGAAAAATCAATGACAATTGGCTCAAAATGCACCTTGCCACCCACCCCACCTCCAGATTTTAGGTAATTCAGAAACAAACTGTAATCACTCCTGCAGCAGCTTTCATTTTGGAAGAGGAAATCCTATTAGGATCCAAATTCTTTGCATGCCTTCTGCCCACAGACTGAGCATTCTAGATGGTAATTCATTTCATTGCTTCCTGCAAATAACTTAATTAAGATTCCCACTATCTGTATTATTGCTAGCCAGAGCTTTTTTGCTAAGGCCAAAGCATAGCTTCTCAAGCTAAGGCCATACTATAATTTATCCAAATATTTTGTAGTCGGTCACTGATTTCCTGAGGAATGCAACACTGATAGCGCATCACCATTCCTGATGCTAAAATCCTCTTAGTGAGTCTTCAGCAGTTGTTACTGTGCTCAGTGGGAGTTGCTTGGAGCCGGCTGTACTGCTCAAAAGACACTCTATGTGTGTTGTGGGAGTTGAGATTTAGACTTCATCTTTTGAACTGGCACAACAGTAATAATTTTCAGTCTCTCACATTTCTCCTTAATAAAATGAAGGTGTTACGCAGTTGATTTCTTTCCTCAAATTAAGATACCATAAAACATGATTATTAGTGAAAAAGAAGAGATGTGAGGCCAAAAATTCAGCAAACCTTTTCCTAAAATAAAAGCAAAGTGTGTTGTCACTGAAATCAACACAATCATGCTTCAGTCTTGTTAAAATGGCATACTCCTCTAGAAAAAAGTTTTATTCAAATATATTTGACTAGTTCTGGTGCTCAGCTAGCTAAACATCTCCCATGAGAGATTCACTTTACAGCATATACTTCCATGGGTATCATGACCATCAGAACTAAAGGAACGTGGGGATTTGCAAGCCCTAACTTGTACTTAGGTTACAGTGATTCCCTCTCATGACTACTGATTTGTACTAGAGAGGACTGTGGCCTAATGTACAATGGAAGACCAAAAATATTTGGATTATTACATTTAAAAAATGGCAATTTTTAGGGTTTCAGATCAAACATGACATTAAAAAAGTATAAAGTAGGGTAATCTGTGTTGTCATGCCATGATGTTATGGGTGACCTGCAAAAATACCCTGGTAGAGGGAAATACCACTTGCTCATCTGCAGAACAGAGGCATACAAGGATTCATTATTTTCACTTACACACATGAGACAGGTTGCCAGATTTTGCTTCCACTGAAGTCAGTGGCAAACCTTTTGTTGATTTCTGTGGTCCCAGGGGAGGTGCTGTTGGAATTTGGATTGTCTTGGTACTTCAGGTAGCTACTTCAGGCTGTAATGATGCACATTTTGGTAGGTTTGTTCTCTCTCTGGTTATCATTGTAAGAACAAAGCAAGGCATTTCTAAACTGACTTTCATTTTATGGAAAATGAAATCTGGGAGAGAAAAGAAAAAAAAGTAAAAAAAGGAACCCGAGTAACAAAAAATACTGTCTCAACTCAGAAGCAATAAGTTTTTAGCACTTCATTGTCTCCTCCACACTCCATATGATATCAATGTAGGCGAACAGCAAGCAAGAGCTATCTATAGAAATCAGTTGTCGTGGTTTACACAGTTTAAACTGTGATTTCTGCTGCACCTCCATTCTGTAGCTCTCCATTAGCAGACTATATTTGTACAGTTTATTATATGATGGGTCCCTGTTCTGATAAAACCCATCATAAATCTTAAAAGGGTGGGGGCAGCAAAAAGCTTCTAGAAGGTGTCAGCTCAGAACTGTCTGCAAATCAGCTGGGAGCAATGTGACATAATTTGCAGTGGGTCCTGTCCCCTTGTTGCACATCTGGGTATCGCAGCAAAATGAACTGCTAGTCTCTGCCCTCCATCAGTGATCTTCCAGAAAATGAACAACTTGGAGGCAGTCAAGGGTGGGAGGGAGTGCTGCTCAGAAATCTAGAAAATACACAGCAACTTAAAAATTGATTGAAGCTGCCAAACCAATCTGAGCCCAATCTGAGCTCTAAGCTTTAATTACTTATATACTTGTAGAAGTTATGAAACATGTCTGCCTTTGACCTTGTGTCTAAATGCAGAATTGCCCATACAGAGAAGCTACCTGGCATTTAATCATTCATGCCTTTCACCTTGACACAGTCAAAGTTGTTCTTCCCCCACTGAGGAGAAGCCGTATGGCATGCAATTAGATTCCTGCTCTGGGTTGAGTTACTCCTGTACATTGCATCTTTTGCCCGTGATTCATCCCATCAACTGTCATGTAAACAGTAGGAAACGTCAGATGAGGGTTTTTTTCTGAACATTTGGTCATTTGGCAAGAAAGGTCATCATTTGTATTCAGTTACTGTGAAGGCTGAGATAGAGAGCCTAATAGAAAGCTCTACATCAAGACAGAATTAGTCAAAAATTTTTCATATGTAAACACTTCACTGAGATGGATGAACCTTTAAAAGTCAGTCTCTGAGTTTTGAGTCTCATCCTTCCTCCCAAAAAAGGGTGTGTTGGAAAGAGGCCCAAGAGAAGGGCAGCCAAACTGTCTTCATTATCAGAGGGAACACAACAGCCATCAGGAACTCTGTAAGGACTTCACTTTCTCCCACTCTACAACAAAGGCACTTTTTATGTATTTATATTGGGAAACCAAACTGCATAACTTCATGGAATGTGAAAGTACAAATCAGTAAGAGTCAACAGAGTGACAATATAGCGTGATAATAGAGTGATAATATTCAGTAGAGGATAATATGAGGTTTTGGCAGTTCCAAACTCATTAAAACAGTAATTCTCAAAATCCTATTGCATTTATACTACGTAAGAACTCAAAATGCAATTTAACATGTCTAATTAACTAGCTGCCTTTCAGGATCTATGTGATTTCTTTCCTCAAGTATATTACTCTCACACATTTTTATTTCCTTTTACCTCTCTTCTTTCTTTGCTGTTAACTTCGCCTTGTTCAAGAGTAATTTCTGGCCCATTCTCACAAACGCCATCAAGGTTTGTACTTGCTGACTCACAACAGCACTCATTATATTCAGACATTTGCAGGAACAAGCACTTGCAATTGGAACAGGCAGGAACCCTTAACCTGCAATATCTGCAAAGCACCAGGTACAGCTAATACTCAGTTTAATAGCACCCAGAAATCTGGCATTACTGGTGGACAAGGAGTAAGGGCATTTGTAGACTCTGGACATTGCTGCCTCTTGCGTATGCACACAGCTGTCTGTGAAGCCAAGCCTAAGCTATAGCCAGAATAGCAGATGAAATGTTGTGGTACTACCAAGAAGTCTGACTTTGGCAGCCACTGAAGGATTCTTAAAGTATTTTTTGTCATCCTCCCCAATTTAGATGGAGAAACTCCTATCATGCTTCAGCCGACTAATGCGACCGAGAAGACACAGCTAATAGGGGACAGCCGTCGGAGCTATCACACAGACTCCTAGAGCCAGCAAACACAACCTGTTGGTGATTCCCACTGAGAACAAACACACTGATAAGCTCTGCAGCCTGTGTTTGTAGTTGTCTTTAAGCTAATCAAGAGTAACCTGAGAGAATTTCCTATCAAGGCAGAATCTCCCTCTAGGCCACTTCCCATTGGTTGATATCTGCACTCTGCAAGGAGATACCTAGGGCCGCTACAGAGCTCTACCCACCAGCATACTCATGGCTTCAAACTGCTATGCTCAGCATGGTCTTTCCCTCTAACAATACTTCCTTTTGTATAGTTGCTCTCCTCCAGGCCCTTAGCTGTGGGTTCACCTCCCAGACACAATCCCAAGTCCCTTTCAGGACACACCAGCTCCATCTCTGCCTGCCCTGGGAATACTCCTCGCATGCTGAAGTTTTGCTGGATGTGAAGCATTCCCATGAAGAGAATCCTGAAAATGCTCTTTAGCATAGCTCAGAGGCAAAGTTGATGACAAGGCAGATGGGGCTGTCCTTCCAGGAGACTAAGTACTCTTTGGAAAGCAGTGAACAGCTTGCCTGGGCCCAGCGTTGGCAGTTATAAACTTGAGCCAGGACAAACTGCTTGGAGATTGTTCTGAAGATGGTTACAACATGGGTCACTCCAAATCCTGTAGCCTCATCCAGCACCAGAAGCACACAAGGGCTTTGTACCTTCACCTGCAAACACAGGAGAGGGTGGGCAAGCACCCTGTGGAGGGGAAGGCTGCCCTTGGCTGCCCCAGTGCCTCTCTCCTGTCCCCATAGCTGGTGACAGCCCCAAGGCAAAGCTTCCCTGATCCTGCCCAGTCAGGCCTGCTGCCCATGTCATGCGGCCCTGGCTTCTCCAGCTGCAGCTGCAGTGTGCTGGAAATTGATCCCCAGCCAGCAGCTTTCAGCTGGAGTTCTTATTGTACCATGCCCCTGGCTGCTGGCCCCACTGCCCTGCTGGAACTGGGCTGGGAGCCACTGCACCAGCGCTGGCAACCACAGCTGTGGAACCAGCAAGGACTCGGCAAGGCAGGCAAGCAGCAGAGGAGCAACTATCCTCACAGCCCAGGTCCTCCCCTCTGCCCCAGGCACAGGGGGTTTAAGAGCACATGGCATGATTTAAAATAAAGAGGTAGGGATGAGTTGTATTGCTGGTGGGTACAGCATGAAGAAAGTAAGCCCCTAATTTGTAAGAAAGAGATGAAGAAACACCTCTTAGATCCTAAACTTAGCCCTTCTGTGGTTGGGCATAATAGTTCAAGCCTTAGACAGCTGCATTTCTTCTTAATCATTATGTTACACCAATCACTGTCAGTCCTGTATGTTTGCTATTTCTGCTCTTCTAATCAAAGTGCTGTGGTCCAAAGGGGGGTATAATGTTACACTATACTATATAGACCAGTCAAAAACGTTAAAATTGGATCCTGCAGTTGTGAAACATTATTATCTTTCTTCTATTCTCACCTTTCACATCAAATGTCATCCCACAGCAGCTAAATATATGGGAAAAGAGTGTGTTTCATAGACCCAGCTGTAACTTCGAAGTCAAGAAATACTACTTTCAACATTTCTTTAAAGTTCCCGTAACACATGGACATTTTAAAAGCCATTAATTCCACTTCAGGTTATATATCTGTCTTCCAGGTGCAGGCAGTGGGGCCAGCTGACATACACATTGCCCTCAGAAATAGTCCTATTTTTCTGCCCCGGAGGAAAGTCCTGGCATGGCTGGGGCTGTGCACAGGCACTCACTTCCCTCCTACCCATGGGCTCCTCTTTGTCCTCAGTTGTACGTTGCAATACTTTGGAGGCCACTCGTATGTACGTAAATCCAGGGTGCCATCCTGCCTGCTAAGCGGTGCTGCGGGAATGTGCCCATCCATCCCAGTTGTGGATGTGCCTTCGTGGCACTATCCTGCTGCTGAGGGGATGTGAGCCCAGAAGACACATTCATGTGCTGCGCACCTTACCTCTGGGGGGCCAGACTATCTCCTGCTCCCATGGAAGTCAACAAGATTTACACCCTTCATTTCAACAGCAGCTACAGAGCAGGCCTAAAACCAGGGAGGGAAAGGGAAATCCCAGATTAGCAAAAACAATGGGGGGGGGGGGTGGGGGGTGGGGGGTGTGATTGTTTCACATACAACATCTTTGATATCCCTCAGGGCCCCATTATGGGCCAGAGCCAAAATTTACTGAAATCAAGGAAGTAATCTCCATAGGCTTGAAATGTGGCCACGAGTCATGTGGTTCTTATTTGCTCTTTCTAAATGAGACATTTTTCTTGGGAAAGGTTTATGACTCGATCCTGCAGTGTGATGCAAAAGTAGACAAGCTGCTGCGTGTCTGCAAAGCCCTTTTACAGACACAGGGACCTGTACTACTACAAAACTCTTAGAACAAACTAGTGACCAAGCCTCTGAGCAGGTTCTCCAGGACTTGCAGCTTAAAAATCAGAGTGTCTGAACTCATTGTTTAATTCCAAAGAGGAATCTCAGTTTCCAGGGTACCAGGGCATTTGCTGTCAGGATCAGCTATTCTGAGGACACATGGAGAAAGGATGAATAAGGATTTCAAGACTTGGCTCTTCAGTGGGATTTTACTCATTTGTTTGCTTCTCAGAAAAGTTCCTCATGTGAACTCAGCCATTCTTATGTTACCTGTTTCAGTGGAAAGTTCAATTGCATACCCTTTAATCTTCTCAAAATGTAGAGAACCTCAAATGTTTGTTCTGCTTCACTGCATTTATTTATATGTAATGTACTATATATTCAAAGCTACCCTTGCTGTCAACCACTCTGACTAATAAAGGTTGTATGTATGAATTGTAGCACTCCCTTTACTTTTCCACACTATCAGCAGGTTCATTCCAGTAGCAGATAGAGAAGCTGTTGAGACAGCTGTCAAAAGTTAGGGCTTTGCACGCCAACAAGCGGCAAGCAGCAACTCAGGGTTTCCCCAAAGAGGAACTAGGTCTTGGATTGCAGCAGATGCACCTACCTATGCAAAGCAGCCAGAGCTATAGCTGCACATTGCAAATCCTTTATATAATGCAGAATGCTTGTATACATTAAAACAAAAGAAAACAGTGGTGTGATGAATCATAGAACCATAGAATCATTTAGGTTGAGAAAGACCTTTAAGCTCATCAAATCCAGCCACTACCCAGGGACTGCCAAGGCCACCACTAAACTATGTCACTGAGGACCTCGTCTACATGGTTTTCAAATACCTCCAGGGATAGTGATTCCACCTCTTCCTGGGCAGCCTATTCCAATGCTCAACAACCCTTTCAGTGAACAAATTTTTCATAATATCCATTCTAAACCTCTCCTGGCGCAGCTTGAGCCCGTTTCCTCTTGTCTTATCACTTGTTGTTGGGAGCAGAGGCCAGCCACCTCCTCACTCCATCCTCCTTTCAGGTAGTTGTAGAGAGTTTTACCAGTATCAGTTCCTTTATGGAACAATTTCTCCCAGTAAAGGGTGGAGAGTGACACCACAGTGCTGCTGAAGACAGCAGCAGGTGTCCTGTGCACTCCCCTGGGACCAGCATCTCACCCAGGGGGTTTGCATCTGTCTAACAGCCAGGTGATCTGGGCCTGCTATGAGGCACCAATACTTCTCAGTAAGGTGGTGTCCAGTCTCTGTGACCACAGGAGCCCAGGCGTTTGGGAAATGGACAAGGGGAAGCTGGTTTGTTTGCATGCCCAAATGGCTGTCCTTTCGTGTGTTTAGATGCTCAGATTCACACAAAATACCAAACAGAAGAGGCATCATAGAAGAATTAGGCCCACCGTCAACATAACCAGTTATTCAGGCAGTTTGTGCACCTTTCTCCTCACAACAAGTTTGCTTAATCCAGAAAATATCAAACATAAATGTATGTAATTTAATTTCATTCCTTACCTTCCCTCAGAGTAGATACCATGATTTCATTTGCTTTCAGTCAGAAAGGATTACATTTCTGCCTCTTTCCAGGATAAAATCATTCAAGAGAAAAGATGAAGCATGCCAAACTGATCACAGGTGAAATGACTGATTTGGTTTTCTCCGCTATCATTTTCTGTACAAATGTCCACTGTCCTGTTACAAAGCAGAGAAAGGCCACAGATGACAGGAATCCCCTTCCTCCCCTCCACGAACTAAAGTCAGCCAAAAGGTCACATCCAGCATCTCCTCTCACTCTGAGAGAGGTGAATGGGTACAGAGGTCCATACACGAGGACTCAGTCCTTCGTGCCACTGTCACCCATCCCAGGGTTGGGAAGGCCACAATATGGGACACCTGCAAAGTAGCCAGCACCTACAGGTAACAGAAAGCTACCAGTGAAGATATGTAATCTCCTACTAGCAGAGAGAGTTAACGTGTCAAGTATCACCTGGCTGGGTTTTAAAATGCTCTCCTCTGGTGGCAGCGTGCAGATGTACAGACACATCCTTACTCTGGGAAAACAATGCCTAGACAAAAAGAGACCCTCAGAATTTCAACATCCTAACTAACTGAGATGAGACAGGTCTGCTCTGGCTTGCTCTGTAGGAAGTTGTGGCAAGTTGGACTAAGAACAACACGCATCTTGGTTTCCACTTAAAATGAACGAGGTGTTGGCAGTTACACAGTGTGTGCTGCATCCTCTGCTCCCGCAGCAGTATCAGCGAGTCACAGCGGAGCTGCTCGGCTTGCGGCACAGATGGATCTCGTAGAGAAAAGCAACCGTATGTGCAACTGGTTAGAGAGGCTGCTTAAACCCACACTGCTCGCGTTTGGAAAAGGGGGTGGGGAAAAAAAAAACGCAGCCTCCTTCGAGCCGGAATCGAACCAGCGACCTAAGGATTTCCGCAAAGCCCAGCCTCTACAGTCCTCCGCTCTACCAGCTGAGCTATCGAAGGGACCTATAGTATAAGTCCGCCGCCATACAACAAGAACCCAGCATGGTGCGCCTGGACGCATGCGCGGAGCACACGGCTCGGGGACGGGCGCTAGCCCACGCTGGGGTCCACTGTTCGGAAGGGCAGGGACTGCATGGAGCGCCGCCGGGCGGCAGGGCGGGCGGCAGGGCGGGCGGCAGGGCGGGCGGCAGGGCGGGCGGCAGGGCGGGCGGCAGGGCGGGCGGCAGGGCGGGCGGCAGGGCGGGCGGCAGGGCGGGCGGCAGGGCGGGCGGCAGGGCGGGCGGCAGGGCGGGCGGCGCTGCGCTAGGGTGCGAGGCTACATGGCAGAGCGAGAAAAGGGCTTTGCGTAAAGGGCCAGTGGCGCAATGGATAACGCGTCTGACTACGGATCAGAAGATTGTAGGTTCGACTCCTGCCTGGCTCGCATGTTTTTCTGTCGCTCCGCAGTCAGCGGTGGTGTTTTACATGCACCGAGGGGATTCTTTTCCATCTGAATAGAATCATAGAATACAGCACTGAACTCTATTTATACGCCCACCACATCACTGGGTTATTGTGTCACCCAAAGCACACATCTAGGCCCAAGATTTTCAGACGATCCACAAGTGCATTTTCTCAAATGCATTAACTGCCCGTGGATTCAGTGCAAGTTTGCTGCGTGTAGTAGTTCATGTTGTTACGAACAAATAACCAATTTGGAACCTCCATCCTTTGTTTTGCTGTCTGTGAACAGTGCCAGTGCCAGCCACAACAGAAGGGTGTGCAGACAGGGAGCATAACGAAAGGGCACCCCACTGTGTCACACACATCCCTTGAGACCCTCATTTTCCTGCCCGTTGCTTTCACTCAGCTAATAGCCATAGGCAGCTGTGTCTGGAAACTTCCTTGGGAATAATAACTCGAGAAATGTCTACCTGAAGCAGAAAAAAAGGACACACCCAAGGATGCTCTGCAGCTGTGTGTGTTATGCGGTTTCGGGGTGCACACGAGGATGCGAGGGCGAAAAGCCGGGAGGGTTTGTTTTCCGCTCCACTGCGACAGAAAACACGGCGTAGTGAAAACGAGTCCAAGGAACCAAAACACATGCGAGCCAGGCAGGAGTCGAACCTACAATCTTCTGATCCGTAGTCAGACGCGTTATCCATTGCGCCACTGGCCCCGCGCGCGCTAAACACGCCGGCCACCGCCCACTCGGCGGAATGCTCTCCCGCGCCAAGCCCATTGCGCACATGCGCCGATCACTCGTTTTGGCCGCTGCCGCCGCCAGGCGCATGCTCAGAGCCTTGCGCGGGGTGTGGCGGGACGTTGGGCGGCCGCTGGGCGGTGGCTGTCAGGTCCCTTCGATAGCTCAGCTGGTAGAGCGGAGGACTGTAGAGGCTTGGCTTTGCGGAAATCCTTAGGTCGCTGGTTCGATTCCGGCTCGAAGGAGACGTCGCGTTTTTATTCCATCTTGGAATAATTCTGTTATTTTAGCCTTTCGGTATCGGACGGGGGCGCGGTCTCTGCTCCCGCCC